AGTGCAAGTTTCCGGACTTTCCGGAGAGTTTGTCTCACTTTGCAGTAGTTGTCTAAGCTCTTGAAGCTCTGCCTCCAAGGCTTCGACCCTGCTACTCTGGCTCGTCAGCTGCTGCTGCAGCTCCGCGACTTGGTCACCTTGGTGCTCGTGCTCGCGCACCATTGAGACCACCTGGTCGCGTAGCTCATAGCCTTAGGATACACCTGAACCACATGAGCTTTGTTAACTCAACGTCCCCCCAGTCTAGTTTGCCCCTCCAATCTTTCATGGTCATGACTGCCATCACACGCACACGCCATGGACTCATGAACAAACTTGCCATTGGTTCTGAGTCTAGACTTTTTCTTGTACCGTTTCTTGCTCACAGGATCACACAGCCCAAACATGATCACAGAACACATCTTCAACGCGAGGACATGTCATCAACTGCTGCACGCAAGCTTTACGCCAACTGCTGGCTTGACTGGGATGTTTGAAAATAAAGTACTTCCCCAATTTAGCCTGAAGCTCACACAACTGACTCGCAAAACCAAGCAGCGCCTTAGCACTGATCATCTCACGCTCAGTGTGTTGACCACGTTTGCTCCTGTTGACATGCTGCCACGACGGGAACGGACCACATGGAGGAGAAACAATCAAAAGCCTAGGCTTCTTGCGAGCAATATCGTGCGCACACTGCTGTCTACGCTCAGGATTCAGGAAGTTCCATCCGCTAAGAAGATCATACGACTGCACTCCACACAGTCCTTTCTTTTCCGCGACTGGCGCAACTCGTGGCAAGGAAAACACGTCTGCGAAACCCAATTCAGAACCCCGTTGATCAAAACCACTCATATCCACACGGAACACATGCGACGCTTCCGTGTCGGCTGGCTTCCACTCATCTTTACAACGTGGCTATTGCTCGACTTAGCTTGCGCCTGGTCTTGCAGTTCACCACAATGGGCGGACAATCATCTTCGCCCTCACGGGGTCGCGCTGCATCCGGTTGGCGATCACCCTCAACTTGACATCGACCAGGTCGATCAGCTCCCCCGCAAGGATCTCCCAATGCTTCACAACACGGATTCTCTTCCACTTTCAACCGTGAGCCGCTGTCCGTGTCCGGCGACTCCAACTTGTCCGCCTCTTTTTTTGCTCGACGCTTAGTGGGACTTGCCGTCATCCTTCCTGATGTCTCCACTGTCGGATCTGGCTTTGATGCGGTCACCGCCTGGCTCGGCATTGCCTTGGACAGTGCCAGCCGATTGAACTTGGCCACGTCGCGGTACTCGATGTAGGCCTTGAACTGGAGCAGGGGCCCTGTCAGCTTGTCCTTGTAGCCGTGTCCCCTAACCCCTTTCACATAACTTTTGTCTTCCTGATACACTTCGGCAACCGTCTTCTTGCGCCTGTATTTCCCCTCCGTGAGCATCTGGCGTGAGTTCATCGCCAGGTTGACTCCGTCGCACTCCAGGTCTGGCGCCAAGTCCAGGGCGGTGTGTCCGCCCACCACTCCCACTGCTGAGATTCCGCGCTCTTGCATCTCGGCACTCACCTGAGCCGGACGAATGGCTGAGTGACACTCGGTGAGGTAGAGGCGGCGGGGGCACTACACCTTCCAGCTGCGATGTGGCTGCATTTAAGTGGACTGCATCTCTGCTTTCCAGCTGATCAATGTTGTACTCATGCTCTTTCTGAATTGACCTGGCCAGCATGCACCCCTCTGCTACCTTCGTGCACTCCAAGTTGTCCTTGCTGCCATTGTTCACATCCTCGAACATTGGTATGCCATAGTGCCCGCTGTTGGTTTCCCTGAGTTTAACCGTAACCCCTAGAACCTTCAGCCAACACTTGTCTTCATCAGTATCAAGCACGGCACCCAGGTTACGAAGGAGCTCCTTGCTAGTATCACAGGGGTGTTGCCACCATGTCCTTTCAGGACTCCCGCTTTCAAACAAATCACCTTGCCACCTACTCTGGCAGGTAGTATTGCAATCTGCTCGCTTTCAAGCGTCCCACTATTACCAAATCTAAACCGATTACGGCACCTAATCCGCTTAACACTCAACCCCTGAGTGGCGAGGACATGCGCAATACTACCCAGAACATTCTCCCCAACGAGAGTGCGTCTGCAAGCCGTATCCGGGACTCCACATCGTGCTAACGTGGGATCTACTTCCCCTAGCAAGCTATCTACAGCATCAACGCTCAGTAGTACCTCTTGCTCAGCTATTTCAGAGCACAAAACTTCTGGCACGGGGCTCTCAGCAGCGTCGATGACCACTGTGGTTCTGCTCCAAGGCCCATCGTCAGGTCGGCCAAGGCATTGGCGATTTCCGGTGGAGTGGCTGTCTGCGAAGCTGGGATTGGCCACATCATTCGGAAGCCCTCTTTCCCATGCTCTCTTTCCTGTCGAGAAGCGGCTCAGCAGGTCCTGCACCTCGGCCGGCTCGGCCACGAACACATCTGCCTCATTGTCCACGATGTTCGCTTCGGACGTCTTGGTAGACGATGCTCCAGAGGCATGTGAAGTCTTGTTGTTGGAGGGCGGCGCTCCCTTTCCCCCACGACCAGCAGCACGAAGAAGAGGGCATTCCCGTCGCCAGTGTCCAGTTCGTTTGCAGTTGTGGCAGCACGCGCGCTGCTTTAATTGCTGTAGTCTGCCACTGACCGTGCCTGAGAGCCGCCACTGTGGCGGGTCCCGTGCAGAGAATCCTCTTGCCTTCTTCTTCTCTGCCATCTTTCGACGCACCTCACCATAACTTTCAAATGCTTCGAGGACCTCTTCCTCGTCGATGTCCTCTCTGCACTGCATGTCGTCTGCCAGCACTTCCAGCGCCTCTTGATAGTCATCGCTCTCGGCTCCTGCCTCTTCCAAGACTCCAGCCAAGAACACATCTTTGCTGCTTTTCGAGCTCTGTCCCTTGCCTTCGGGAAACACAGCTTTGATTGTATCCCTGATGTCCTTCTGTTCCAAGGACCCCTTGGTCGCTGTCAGAATCATCGCCTCCTGGGTTACGTCCAGTCGCAGCTTCTTTAGCAGCATGAACGCCAGAACCTTGTTCGGCAACTTGATCTCTTGCTCTACCAATTTCTGCATCGCATTGTAGTAGCGTGCCAGCTGATAAGATTCGCCTGCCTTGATATGCAGTTCGTAGAAAAACTGTTTCAGCGCAGCACGCAGAAGATCAGTAGGTTGTGGTCCATATTTGTCGTCGAAGGTGAAAGCTGAGCTTCTCGCTGCCTTCTCTACGCAGCGTTTCCACGGGAATCCTCTCGCACACCAGCTCAGCTTCACCCTTGATGTGTTGCATCAGCCGGGGGCCATGTTTCTCAGCAGGGACTGTATTCGGCAAAACAGCAATCATCAGCTGTGCGCGCCGTTTCCAGTTCCGGTAGTTCGCGACGTCCGAAACCGTCAAAGACCTCAAGCCATGTTTTCTCGTCGCCAGCAGAAGACGCCATTGCTTACACAGCCTCCAGGAAAGCCCAAAGGCTCCGCTACCACTGTGAGCTTCAGCCCACAGTGGTCTGTCTTTTCCGCTGATCTGAGCCACATGCCTTCGGTACTCTTCTCGATTTGTCCTTGCTTTGCATGCACACTCATGGAACAGGACCTACGCTCAAAGGATCGTGAGCTTTCACAACACCAACAAAGCTGAACGGAAACTCCTGCAATGCTCATGACACTGAGGATGGAGCTGGGAAGCTGACGGGCACCAAGCAACGCAGTTGACATCGCCTTCATGAGCCACTTCCTGGCTGGCACAAGGAGGCCACCATCCTGCTGAAAGAGCTGCAACCACTCAGCACACATGCCAGCATGACGTTGGCCAGGCAGGTCCACTGCAACAAGCTTGATGTATCCTGAAGCTCGGCGTTACTGCTGCGCTCCGCACTCAAGTCACGCTAAGCTTGGTATTTCTGTCTTTTCTTGCACAGCTCCCTCGAGCTCTACTTGGCTGCCGCAACACAAGCTCTTACAGCTGAATTGTACGTGATGTCATCAGACACGGAAAGTCTCAAAACAGTGTCCAGCTGTGACACAGCCCACTGCCAACGATCGGCCTTTGAACAAGAACTGAC